TAAGCAATTTTCACATATTATATGAGCAAGGGTCACATTACAATTCTATTGCTTATCATTGCATCTGACATTTAGTGGACTGTATATTTTTCCTGTTTATTTCATCGGTTTACGTATGTTTGCATATGTATGTATGAATGTGTTATATTTCTAAAATCCTATCCAAGGTCTATTGCGGCAGAGTTTCATGTTCATATTTTTATGAACACCGGGTAACCATTTTATCCCCATTTGTGAAAAGGTAGTAGGAAAAGTAGTCTGGTAGTGCTAAAATGCGTTTTTTGTATATTATATTGAATTAAAATATTGAAGCAGATTCCATTGATCTACACAATAGACAATGAATTAACTTTTTTAAGGTGTATTAAACATGCTATATAGATATTAAAAATGAAATAAATGAAGAATGAGAGAATTTTATTCACATAAATTTCTGACCAAAGAAAAATCTTATCGACAAATATTCCCAAATATTCAAAAGAAACCATGGTTTCATTAAAACTCCAGTATATATTAAATAAAATTAATGGAATTCAAACAAATCCTTTATTCAAAGGGACTATATTGCACACCGTCTTCAAAAGAGTCACAACTCCAAATTTAGCATTTTTGAGGTTATGCGCTAAAAATATACACAGAGCTTTTATCTATCTTTCAGCAAAAGCTGAGTCAAATTATTGTTATAATGGCTGCATTTCTTTATTCATTCTTAACGTTTGGAATAAACTTTTTTGTTTACTTATTCTTTAGAACGTTGATGATATGTAAACGTATATTTCAATGGCATTCTGTTTATTCTGGTTGTGAAATGGGTTTATCCGGAATGTATAAAGAAATTTGTAAAAAATTATGGATATTGATTATCATGTGCTAAGAAATAGTATTTCGCATTTTCTGACAAACGTATTATTTTGAGTTGTGACTCATTTGAAGACGGTGTGCGATATGAAGAAATATACAACTAGTAAAGATGCAATTGATACAATGTATATAAATTAATCTTTTTAAAAAGTTATTATATTTGTTGCATTTAAAAATTACATGTTCATTATCTTAAATTGAATTACATTTGGTGGACGGACACACAAAGTGATCTTGACCTGCACAAGATAAAAGCTTTATTGATATTTTTACACTTTCACTTTTATGAGGTAGTGCACTTATTTGTAAGTATATATGGCTGCACTTCACCAAATAAATCGGTGCAGCTGTAATTCCCAGTGGACTGCACCAGCCAAATGTGGACGGACTTATTGGTAACGGCTGCACTTGCTGTAAAACGCAGGTTTTTGAATAACTCCGATACTCTACAAAGAAATATGTAAATTATTTTTTTAATTCAAAATAGCTCCATTATTTTTGATTTTTTTGGCATGCTTACTTGAATTTGCGCAATAAGAAAATCAATTTCCTCGAAACAATCGATGAAACTAACGGCAGTGTTGCCTGCTGAACCTTTTATACGAAGACAATATTTCTCCTTGTCTTTAAGTAGTAGCTTATATAAATCAAAAAAGAAAGCAACACAGGCTAAGGCAGAATGCGGGAGCGAGACAACTGCCAGGTTATCCAACCTTGTGTTATTGAATCATGACTCCTGAGGAAGGCACGGGGTTGTGTGCTGCTATTTAATGGCCATCCTCAGACTTTCTTAGATTTCAGGGTTGTGTGCTGCATTATTATTAGATAAATAAATTTAAGCATTTGACAAATCGTGATTTTATTTAAAGAAAATTATAAATGGTGTTGAAAAATCAAACAAACGCTCGTGCGAAAGCTCTATTTTTGTGTGTTGTTAAAATTTATACATGGCGTATTGATGGTAATACAAGCAATTTATTCTTTTGTGGATTTTATGTTACTTGAGAATTTAGACAACGTGCGAGCTGCCAGGTTCTGTTATCAATATAATTAACACAAGCTTTTTCGCGTGGTTGCCTTTCAATAAATAAAATAAACAAATATTCGCAAATAAATTGGATTTATTTTATAACTGACAACTAACGTACCCTTTTTGTTATTTTCTCCATTTTTATTTGGACTTTATTACCGTCAACAACTTTATGTGTATACATATTTACAAGCTCTCAAAATTTTGCGTAGTCCCACTCCACGAGCTAGGTAAAAACTCTGGCATTCGTATTCACAACGAGAAATCCCAAAATTTTTGTTTGGTCTTTCCAAATTTTTTATCAGTTGGCAAAGGCCCTCAGTGGCACGCACCGAGCGTTGAGATAGTAATTTCATGTCATTTAGTAGAAAAGTTCCATGTCGAAAAAACTGTTTATTCATGATTCAATAATAAAAGGTTTGCTCAAAAAGCAGTTTTCTCGCTCCCTCTTGACAAAATCGGCTCCCTTAGCAAAGCACTGTGTGTGGGTTCGTGTGTGTGTGCAAAGCTTTTGTAAGGCAGCTAAGGGAGTGTCAAAAGTCTAATGTCAATAATGAGCAAACCTTTAATTATTGAATCATGCTTTTTATTATAGTGAGAAGATTTTACATTTCTGCTGTACCAATTCGTAACTTTTTACTGCTGGAAATTTTTGACAGTTTCTCTGGTGCAAAAGAAGTTGAGCAATTAAAATCAGAAATTATACAAAAAAGACCTGTCTTTACTGACATTTATTCTTCTAGAACTAAAAG